ACATCCTTTTCCTCCCATTCTATTTCTTCTTGTCTTTTTTCTTTGAGCTTTCATTTTCAAGCCTATCTACAGGGAGTAAGACCTCAGATAACTCTGTTGCACTTCGAAGATGTTCAAAATAATAAAAAATTATCCCTCCATTCTGTGTCTCAAAAAAGGTTCCTAAATGTGGATTCTGGGGATTTTTTTTCAGACTTCAGTAAACTATGTAGTCTTAATGAAATCTAGGGTAGAAGTAGCCGTTTAAGTCTGATGAAGATGTTGTTCTGATGAATGGGTGAATTGTTTCTCAGGAACAGAAGTGGTAAACAGAATCTCTATATTGAACCCTTACACCAAAATTTGGGGTCTACAATTGTCTATCAGAGAAAAAATAAACAGCCTAAGGCAGTAAGAAAGGGATTACGTGTCTCATTGGTGAGAAACAATGTAATACTTGGTGCTGTTCTTGTCGATTGAATGTCTCATGTTGAAGGAAGAAATATCCCAGTTCCTGTTTCTATTGATTAGAATCTCATTAAAATAAATATAGTTGTCATGATTTCCTCTCCTTTCCCTTCAAAGATTTTAAATGGTTACCTTTCCTTTTTTTTTTGGGGGGGGGGGGGGGGATGGGATGGTTGGGGTTTACAGCCTATAACTAATCCTGGTTGCTTCTGTATATTAATCCAATGGAAAAACTGTATGAAAGACAGGAAAATAGCCCATTGCCTGTAAAGTCATATAAAGCTGTAAATAATACTATTTACTTTGCTGTAATCTTTATAGATAAAATAATTTTCTACTGTAATTGCATTTCTTCTGCCACATAGTTTATTTGCCATGTCAGGATCACTATTCTTTTCTAAAGAATCTATCCATTTTGTGGGCTCCTTAGTAAAGAGTCAGGAAAGAAGTACTCCTGCTGTATTCTAGATGTAGCCTGGTAGTTCAGCATTGCATATTGCTTCCTATTGAACAGATAATTGATTTCTCTAAAGCTGATTTCAGCGGGTTTTGGCACGATGCAGCCTCTCCTAGTGACCATTTTTTACAGATTTTTTACACATTCTAGGTTGAACACCATGATATGAAATAGTTTTACACACATATTTTACATTTTCAGTGAATTTTGAAAATTATCTGTTTGCTGCACAAACAACACAATATCTAAAGAAAAATTTTTCCAGTTAGAAAATAATCCTGTGGTAGAGTTGTATGTTTATTTGAATCATCATACCTACAACTCAGATTGTTGTACTAGAGACAGAAACTATTGACTGAAAAACATTGTCTCATTGTTTAAGTAATCTGGTTTATAATCATAAAAGTTTATTCTGGTCTTGATATCTATGAATATCTTAGCTTTGTCCTGGGTATTGTGGCTGAGATAAACTCCAATTCCTAAGTGTATTTTAGTCACCCATTTAGAAGCAGAAACTGAGAAACTCAAGAAGTCCTTCTTTTATATTATCTGTTTTTTCTCTTATTAGAGAGATTTTCTGGATAAACTAAATAATCTGGTACTTTTTTTTTTTTTTTAATAATTTTTAGTATAGCGGATTAGATCTTATTCTAGTCAGATTCTGTAAGAAAATTACAACGTAACACTCTTTGCCTAGAAAAGGATAAGTTACTTGATGGAGAGAAAGTAGCAAGTGCTTCTTGAGCATTCTGTTTAGCAGTTTACAGTTAACTTTACCAGACAGGGTCCATGAAATTAGAATGGACTTCACTGTAATATATAAGAATCTTACCCTATCTCAACTCTTGATTATATCATTTAAATGTAGAACAGTTTTGTAGGTATTTCACAGAAAAATAAATTGCTCTTCTCCACTTCTATAAAACACATTCCTAAATATTGCTAAGAAAAGAGATCTGTACACATTTATATGTACATGTATATGTAGCTGAAACAGCTTTGGGAAAGGAGGAATTTTTGTTAGTGCTCCTATTACTGAATTTTGCTTTCTATTTTTGATACATAAGCAAACATCAACCATTTCTATTCTTGGCACGGTGGTAGACCTGAAAGAGAGAGGTATCATCATCTCAGTTGTGCAACAGTGGGTTTGAGTGCACCCTCAGCAAGTGAGCAGAAAACCCCCAGCTGAGTGGGGCAGTTGATGTGCCTGGAGGGATGGGAAGCCATCCAGCAGGACCTGGACAAGTTTGAGAAGTGGCTCTGTGGGAACATCCTCAGGCTCAGCAAGGCCAAGCACAGGTCCTGTGCCTGGGCTGGGGCCACCCCCAGTGTCAGCACAGGCTGGGTGAGGAAGGGATTGAGAGCAGTCCCTGCAGAGGGTTTGGGAGTGCTTGTAGATGAAAAGCTGGATGTGAGCCAGCAATGGGAATTTGCAGCCCAGGAAGCCAGTAGTGTCCTGGGCTGCATCAAAGCAGTGTGGGCAGCAGGGCACGGGAGAGAATTCTACCCTTCTCTCCATTCTTGTGATCCCCACCTGCAGCACTGTGTCCAGCTCTGGGTCCTCAGCACAAAAAAGGGGATGCAAGACCTGTCTGTGAGGAAAGGCTGAGAAAATTGGAGACGTTCAGCCTGGAGGAAAGAGGGATTTGGGGAGACCTTATTGTGGCCTTTCAGTATCTGAAGGGAGCAGACTTGACAGAACTTGCTACAATAGAAGAAAGGGTAGTGGTTTCTCTATAATAGAGTGTTGTTTAGAATACTGATAAGGATTTTTTTATTTTTATAGTAAGCATGATGAAACACTGGAACAGGTTGCCCAGAGAGGCAGTAGGTGCCCCAACCTTGGAAACATTCAAGGTCAGACCAGACAGGGTTCTGAGCATCCTGATCTAGCTGCTCATCGCAGGAAGATGACCTTGAAAATTCCTCCCTACCCAGACTATTGCATGATTCTGTGAAAATCACATAAAATGAAATACATATAGGAATATAATAGCAGATCTCTTTGTGCCTAGGAAACTTCAGGATACTGAAAATAATTAATTTGTAATGTAACAATTCCTTTGGCTTTTATAATTGAAGACCTGCTCTATTTTGTAGTTAAACTGTCCAAGAAAACTCTCTGGTGATTTTTTTTTTTATTTTTTTACCTAATTCTATTATCTGCAGAAAGTTTTTTAAAATTATGTGTGCTGCAGAAAATGCAGAACTTTACCTGTAAGGATTTTCTTCTTCCACAAAAAATCCATTGAACGCATAGTATTTTTCTTCCATCATTTGATGTCTCAGCAATTAAAATGTAACTTAATGGTTTGGAGATATAAGTTTTATTGCTAACTTAGATGTTTCTCAAGTTTCTTTTTGAAACATAGCAATGGTTAACTTGGTCTTATCATTAGCTTCAGATGCAGTGCAAAACATTTGAGGCAGGATTTTTTTTTCACTCCAGCCATTTTTCATAAAAGTTCACAGGAAGCAGAGTGAGGAAAGCAGCTGGAGGAAGAAGCTGGAAAATTTGTGATTGCTAGTAAGGATCTGGTCCTTCCCTATCTAACCATATTCTTTTCAAAAGGAGTAGTAACTGTGGTAACTACTGGAATTGGAACAGAGGGGTGTGTCTCCCACAGTTTCATCAATATGATACAAAGTTATCATTCTCAAATTGCAAGTGGATCTGACATTTAGTATTATTAAGCTTCATTTTATTGCTTTTCATTTAGGTCCTTGAATCCATTTAGCAAGTTGTGATTAATTTTCAGAGTTCCCCACAGTTGGTAATTAAAAAGAAACTTTATATCCATATAAAGTACAGGAGTGTACTTTAGCACTACTTAGGAGTCTTAACAAGGCAAAATATAAGAACAAATATTTTATTTAACAACTTTCCAAGAATATTGAAGGACAAACTTCTTGTTTTAAACACATCTTGCCACGTGCACCTTTGTGCTTGAGGGGAACCTCTTACTCCAGTGAGATGATGAAAGTTGTGACCAGGTTTATATGTTTGCCAGGGTCAGTATTTCCTTAAGTTTCTAGAAATAAAAAGTAGGCTGTTGCATTGGAGTTGGGTAAAATAGATGTCAATAAAGAGAATGTATTAGATGAAGCTGCTCTAGACCTTCCTGTAACAGCTGAAATACCATGTTACACAACTTTTATGTAGCTCCTGTACTCTCTAATAAAAATTATCCTTCAAGCTTTACTTTAATTTTATAAGCTGTGCATATGTACAGTACAGAGTGTACTTTTATTCATATGCCAAAGATCTGCAGCCAAATCACTTACTATCAGCATAAGACTATTTTAATAATTTAAGCCCTTAATCTTCTTGATTAGTTTCTCTTGCACACACTCTCTTTGTCTCACTGACTTTGTAGTTATCTGGGAATTGCTGTGCACGCAATCTGATTTCAACATAAAAATGCTATTTCATTGTAAAAATACTTTTAAAAAAATAGTTGCTATGTAATGTATTCCTATAGTTATAGGCTGATGGTAAGAATTATAATAAATTTGTCATTTTTAAGAGAAAAAGTACAATTTCTCTGTTTTCCTGCTTGAGTTTTTTGAAATTAGAGTGGCCATAGGGAGCATTATTGCTATGAAAGATTTTACGTCATTAAGATTTACCAAATTTAATCAGGCATATACAGTATGCTTTATCCAGGTTATCAGATCTCTTGCCCATGATCTGTTATTTCTCACTAAGCAACACTGGAGCTTGGAGGACTGAGATGTTTCAGACCTGCCTGTGTCTTTGACAGCCTGAAAGAGGAGGACATGTGCACTGCAGCTCCCAACAGAAACCTCAGTGAGGTTTTTCCCCCTTAGCTTTCAGCCTGTGTGTCTCCTCCCATTGTTTCCTATATAAAGTAAGGCTTTCTGGTAGGATAAATCTGTTATTAGGGAAATAAATTTAAAACAATTTGAAACATACTTGTTAAGGATCCTTGCACTATTAAAAATGGAAGAACATTTCAAAGGTATTTGACTTTTTGTATGTTACCTATGTTGATTTAATTGATTACTGTCATTTTAATATGCTGTTACAATTTGAATTGTCCTTTACTATAACCATTTTCTTTTACTGCAGGTTTAAGGTTTTTAAGAGCCCTTAGACTGATACAGTTCTCAGAAATCTTGCAGTTTCTGAATATACTTAAAACAAGGTAAGACTTTTTCTTACATGCTGATTTAGTTGCATTGGTGACAGAATGTAAATGGCTTAGATTTGGGGCCTTAGTAATATATTATTTTATTTTCTGGAAAAAAAAACTTGCTTGTTATCTGTTCTTTAAACCCTTTTCTGCTCATTACTGATTTGTCAGTGACAGCAGCTTTTGCTATATGATCATTTTAATTGATGCATTGTTATATTTGAAATATTGAGCAAGGTTATGTGTTGATAAATTCTAAGCAGAATGAATTACATAGCTTTGAATTGATTAAACATTTTTTCTTTCCATATAAGCAGTCCATGTTCTTCTCTCTTGAAAAAACTGAAATCAAAACTCATTCAAAAGAATATAGTTAAAAGGTATTTTGAGAAATTCTCATTGTGGCTCTTCCAGTTTTTTTTGTACTGAGCATCGTTTTTCACATCAAAAACATTAAAAATTACACTGAGCCTCTTTATATTGTGTTCATTATCCTTAGAATTTCTTACATATAATAATTAAAATACTCCAATTAACCTTCTGGCTTACTGGTTCTTTGGCCTATTAATACATGAAAGTTGTGCAGGAAAAGCACAATTTTGGACAAAAGATCATTTTGAAGGAAATTAAGAGAAACCTCCCCATGCTTTGCAGTTGAAGACATACTGTTTTTCATCATTCTTTAAAATTCTCCAGGGGAAGAATTGAACCCAGCTTCCACTAATTACTGTAAAATCAGTTCCATTTTGAAAACCTCTCCTCCCTGCACCTGTTGCTGTAGATGTGTGAGGGCTTTATATGCAGATAAATCCATTTCTTGCTGTGATAATTTGTAGCAATGGGAATTTGTACACACAGTAAACAGCTGTTTCTTCAACCCTTAACCTTGAAACTATTCTCTGTGCTGTAAAACACTTACACTGTCTGTCCCTAGTTGTGTTGCTGGAAGGAAGCCAGTTCTGGTCAAACAAAGACATCAAAGAATGCAAGGTGAAGCTCCATAGCTCAGAATGCTCAGCATGGAAAAGGAGAATAAGATTTAACATACAGAACAACCCTGCCATAATAAGTTGCTGTAAGTGGAGAAACCCCATAAAGTCAAAGGATTCTGGATAAAAGCTCATATCCCCTTCATCAGTGGGGGATTTGGGAAATTCCAGATCCATAAATGTGCGTTAATCACATTCAAGGTACACATTCAGAGCTGGTTTATTTAAGATTGACCAATTCATTGAAATGGCCTTTCTCTGGTGCAGAATTTACTCTTATGTTAGATACCATCATCTCTGTAATTGTTTATACGGGTGCCAAAATATCTATAAACCTCAAATGTTAATTAGTGAAAGCCTGTAGAGCAAAACTTTCTTATATGAGTGTTTCAGTTTAGCCAGTTAATTCATTCCTAGCAATTCATCACTAACATCATTTATTTGAATGAAAAATTGTCACCACCTCAAAACAGGTTTTTATGTCTCTCCTTGTTCCTGGTAATGCAACAGAAAGTCACGTCTGCTCTCTTTTTTGTCTTAATAACCTGAAATGAACTAAATCATCATCATCAATGAAAAACATCATCAATGTTCCGAAAACGTCTTTTTTTGTTTGTTTGGTTTTTTGTTTTGTTTTGTGGATGTGTCAAATTAAAACAAATTAACAGAATGAAATTTGTTTTAGAAAAGTTTCTAGTTACACCTGACATAAATTTGATGTGTGACTGCTTGGGGTTTCTTTTAATGTCTTGCATGAGTTTAGTTTATAGAAAGCAACAAGCTAGAAAATTAGTTTCTAACTGGTACTGCAACCTTCAATGAGAAATTTTTGTATTTTCAGTGTGTTCTGAAGCACCATCAGAACTGCAGCTCATGTGCTGCACACACATCTCCTATTACAGTACAAGAATACTCATTAATTGAGAGCTCTGGTTCTGAATTATTTTGCTTCCTAAAAAAATAAAGCATGCTGAGCCCTTGTGATTAATGGAGGATCTCGAAATATTTTGTACAAGTTAGAGCAGTTAAACCAATAGTCTCAATAAATCTAGTGTTATTTAAGTAAAATTTACTTTCCTAAATTCAGTCAGTTATATCAATTACATACTGTGCCCTTAAACCATTATTATTACTTTAACATACTGTATTGTATGCTTTTGGACCACTACTGCAGTATTATTTTGCTCAAGGATGGTTAAAAATCTTCTAGAATTAATATATTAGAATGTTTTTCAGTCCACTTTTTAAGATTTTATTGAAATTTTCAACATTTTAGGATTTTTATGAACATCAAATCAAAGAACCAATGACAGAACTTGAATTGTTGGATTTGGATAGTAAATTCAGTATATTATTACTAGCTGTGAAATTATAGTAGGGGAAAAAAAAGTACTTCTTATTACTTAAAAATTCAGCAATAGGAAAGTGTTCTCCATTTTTAGGTGATCTGTATTTATATGAAAAAGGTATGGAATGAATTTTAACCTAGGCATTCCAGTGCATTTGGCATTAATAACACTCAACAACTGAGAAGATGAGAAACTGGTTGGGTTTACTGGGCACTGGTTGGGTATACTTTTCTCTTCCTTTTCTCTTTTCTCCAGTAAAGAAAAATATTTACTGTATAAATGAAAATTACTCCTGGAATTATTGACTTAGATATGAGGATTAAAGGAAAGTAATTTATTTTCACAGTGAGCAGAAGGGCCATTCCAAAAAGTGAAATCAAATGAAAGAAGCTGCACAATGCAAAAACACAGTCAGTAAAGAGACTAACAAAGTGTTAGGTGATTATTAGAATGCCTGAAATAAAAGCTAAATATATTTAAAAAGATCTTGTAAGACTACACAAAATTTTACAGTGGCACTTAAAAGACTGTACTCTGCCAAGGACCCGTTTGTTTCCCTAATTTGAAATTAAATGTATTTAAGATTTTTGTCCCATGTTTCATGAAATTGAATTCTACTGTTTTCAGCTGAAAAATTTCTCTCCTTCATTGTTTTCTAATATTTTCTAAAAAAAACTGCAGAGGCTTAGGCAGGGCTCACAGTAAGGGATTTTGCACAGATGTTGGAAAGAGCTTAAAGAGGGGGAAAATGTTTATGACTAATCCTTCATCTATATTTAGACTCTGGCAGAAACACAGGGAGTATTTCACAGAGGACAGACAAGGTACAGTGTTTAATAAATGTCCAAAAATGAAATGTATCAAACAGGTAATGTAAATAGTTACTATTAATGGGTAATACAGTAATATGAAGAGACCAACAGACACTTTATTTTTTATTTTTTTTTGTCAGGAACATCTTGTTTTCTAAGTTCAGGTGAAGGATGATGCTCAGCCTTTCATAATGGAGCATTGCATCAGCATCACTCCTATGATTTTGTTTCATCTAGGAACCCATTGCTTAGGGTCCTATGCTACAAATGAACATTATCACTAAGAAAATAGGGACTTAACCATAGTTTAAGAGGGAGAGCAATAGGGAATGTGTGATTGTTGGTGAACACTAATGACAAGGCTGCTGATATATTGAGTATAGTATTCATTTCATCATCTGACATATTACCCAGTCATATTCTGTTTCTTGTACCCCCTATGTCCACTAACTGAAACTTTAAAAAATACTTGTAAAGGAGCTGTTCTGGTTAATTTTGCAGGTTCTTTTCCAAATACTGTGCGGAAAAAAATGCATCTTTATTGTCCTCAAAATAGTTATAAACAGAGACATCGATTAATTCTACCACAAAACTACTACTGCTAACACTGGTGGTGAATTTTTCCCAATTTTTATATTTTTTAATGTTTTGCTTTAAGTATAATCGTACTTTTTTTTTTTCTGAGGTGTTATGTCTTATAAATATTTTCAAAAACATGAATGAGTAAGATTGTTTAAACACAGTCATACATGGACAGCAGTTCCTCGTGTTTTTGTTGAATATCCTTCTTAGGACAGTGACTTTTGTGAGAAGAGGGGAAGCATGTTTTATTTCTATTTCTTCCAGAAGATTTTAAATACGGTATTTTCCTGCTGAACTGAGTGAGGTCCTTGCTTAAAAATCACTTCTTGCTACTGTAGGGAAAATACTATTCAGTGTGACTAAAATATATTTGCAGAGTTTTTGGTAGGTTTAAATTATGCTTTTTTCTTTTTTTTAGAGAAAAATGTGAAGTATTAAATACTATAATTTCATGTGAATTTTCCATAAAGAGGTCCATAGGAGTTAATGGAAGCAGAATAATATGAAAAATACCTAGGACTTCACACAGGAGCTGAAAAATACCTTAGTTCTTTAATTTGGGAATCACAATTTTGTAATGTATTTTCTCTTATGTATTTATATGTGAATAATTCTGAGTGTATATCAGTGAAAAAGGAGGTGAGTGTACTGAAAGGCACCAAATTACCTGGGAAAAAGCATTATTTGTTTCTGTTAGTTTGTTTCTGACTGCTGATGTAGCCATGGTATCTATTTGTCTTTCTGTTCTCATACCTCGGGACTTTCTCTTCAAGCTGAGAAGGAGTCTAAATTCTTCTACATTATGGAAATGTGAGCTCTTCAAAGGAAACATAATACGTATTATACATAAAGTTTTGAATAAATTTTTTAGATAAGTTTCTTTTGGGAAATAATCATAAGGTTCTTGGTTCGAAAGTATGAAGTTTCTATAGAGGTACTTATAAAAAAAAAAAAAAAAAAGTGTGACAAATTCCAGTCTAAGTTCCTGTTTGCTTTGTTTATTTCCAGTAATTCCATCAAGCTAGTGAATCTGTGCTCTATATTTATCAGCACGTGGCTGACAGCAGCTGGGTTCATACATTTGGTGAGTGCCCCTGCAAGGGCTGGGTTGAGCTTCCCCGGCGGAGCTGGGGCTCTCTGAGCTGCTTTTGCCGTCCCCATCAGGGCTCTGCAGTGCAGCCGTGCCGGCTCCCCAGGGCTCGTTCTGCTCTCCCCCGGTTCCCCAGGGCTCGTTCTGCTCTCCCCCGGCTCCCCAGGGCTCGTTCTGCTCTCCCCCGGTTCCTCAGGGCTCGTTCTGCTCTGCCCCGGTTCCCCAGGGCTCGTTCTGCTCTCCCCCGGTTCCCCAGGACTCGTTCTGCTCTCCCCCGGCTCCCCAGGGCTCGTTCTGCTCTCCCCGGGCTCCCCAGGACTCGTTCTCCTCTCTCTCCCCCGGGCTCTGGGGCGGTGTTTTTGGGCACCCCGGGCTCTGGGGCGGTGTTTTGGGCAGGCCCGGCTCTGGGGCACGGAGGGGCCGGGCCGGGCCGGGCAGCAGGTGGCGGTGTTCGCCAGGGATCTCCCCGCAGGATCCCCCGGCACTCCGGAGCCCTTGGCTGGCTCCACACAGCTCCATCCGGCCGCGGAGGATTAAACCCAGACTCCTCCTTTTCTTGCTTCTTCAGCTCGCCCTTAAGGATGCACAGGGATTCTGAATGTTTTAATTTATGATATATTTATCATTCATGGACTTTTGCACTCCTCTCGGCAAATGTAGCACTTCTATCTGGAAACAATACCTTTTTCTATTTTTGAACATGCAGAGCACAATACCCCTTAAATATTACACAGAGACCAAGGGAATGCTATTTTCTAGGATTTGGATATTTTTTTTCCTTTGTTTTTTAACAAAAGCTTTTCTATTCTACTGTAGGAATACTCAAACTTCAGCTTTTTACTGTGGAACAAATATTAAATGGACCCACTCCTTTCCCACTGACAAATTTATAATTTTGTCTCAATAGTGGCTGGCTTTTTGATAAAGTAGTAGCATACCACTAAAGGTGCCAGTAATGCCTTCAATAGCTACAGAGTCTTTTAAAACAAAAACAAAACTGAGGAGTATAATTGCATTAAAAGTAAGATTTACTCTGAAAATATTCTGAACACGTTTTTATTAAATGAACTTACCTAACTACATGAGTAAGTTACATTATTTAGTGGTGCCTGGAAAAGATACTTCCCATAAATTATCTGAGTAGCAAGGCTGTGTGTATTGGCAAAAGAACTGCAGTGCTCTATTTGGCACAGGGTCAGGTTCTGTATTTGATCAAAATAAAATACAGGAAAGGATTCAGAGTTCATGTTGTATGCCAAATGATACATCTATACACACACAGAGGCACATACATGTATGAGTAGAGTGAATTTGGGGTTAATTAGAGATAATTATAATTAATATAATTCATTATATGTTTTCTTCTACATTGTAGGTGGAGAACTCAGGGGATCCATGGGAAAATTTCCAAAATAATCAACCGCTAACATATTGGGAATGTGTTTATTTGCTGATGGTTACAATGTCCACTGTTGGCTACGGAGATGTTTATGCAAAAACAACCCTTGGTCGCCTTTTCATGGTCTTCTTCATCCTTGGGGGACTGGTAAAAATTCCTCTTTATTTTCTTCTTAATACTCCAGCTACCTTAAAATTTGTTCCTGTATATCTCAGTGTTGTAATTAAGGAAACAATAATATCTGTATTAGTAAATTAAAATTTATTATAAAACATTAAAATATGTTTAATATGCATTTTTTTACTGTAGATAAATATTTTTGGCAAATAGCTTGTCAAATTAGTCCAGTATTAGTCCAGAATTAGAATTTTTCTAATCCATTTAAATGAGTAATGCATGTGAATGCATGAAGTGCCTTAATGTTTCAACATACAGTATTATTTGTAGTCCTCTACTTCTTAGTAATTGATTTAGAGCATTTTTGGAGGTTGCTATTGATATTTAAAGGCACTTTGCGGTTTCAGAAGTCCGACCCACCCTTCTGTGTTCCTTCCCAGAATTCCAACAAACACTGTGGCTTTGGACTGCCTTAAAGAGCAGCTTGCCTGATCCAGATGATGGCAAACCACATTCTCTTTCATGTCATGTAGTACAATTTTAGCTCACAATTTATCACATGACCATAACCAGTGTCCCTTTATATCAGCGATTTCTCGTCTTCTTTGCCCTGTATGTAAATAGCACCCAAGTTGCTATTTGTCTCGTCAACTTTTCCATTATCTCTCAGTGCTAGGAATATTATTACACCTCTTGCCACGTTCTCCAAACCAGCAAAGTTAATTTTAGTATTTACACTGTGCGAGGTAAATGCTTTGCAGGTGACTCGTAATGTGTATTGTTCCCATACACAGATATGTATATTGTTACTTTACCCTCCTCCACTGATATCACGTATACATACATCTCACAGAGGTGGTATGTATGTAACCAACGTTATGAATGCCATATATGAGACACACACAGATATGTATGGGCATTACATATATGCATTCCCATCTCTGTTCATTGGCATGTCAAATGGCAGTAGCTCTTCGAAGTATCCAGCCACAAGGAAACTGTTTGTTGGACAAAACATGGCACAATAATTTTTATTTTCTCCTCAAAACCTTTTTTTCTATCACATGTTATTCCAATCCTTCTAAACCCAAGAACTTTTGGAAAAGTTTTTTTTTTGGGAGGGTGGGGGGGGGTGATTTTTTTGTTTCTTGATGGGGAAATAACCCCTGATTTCCTCTTGTTTTTGTCTTCTTTTAAATTCTTACCATGGGGGGGAAGAGTCTGTATTTTAAAACAGAAATGTAACAGTAATACTTGGCTTTGTTTTTTTTTTGCAATGGGGCTTGGATAGGTTTTTTTCCCCCTCCCCTCTTCAGGAAGAAATAGACATAACTGTTTTTTGTGATTAGATACCAGTTTGAAGTAATTTTGTTCTTGTTTTGTTTTACATGTCCATTTTTTTCTGTTTTGACCATTTTCTTTGTTTATAAGATGTATACCTTCTCCAAGACAAACTTTTACATTGAGCCTTCTTGTTTTGTTTGATAAGAACTTTTTCATTTTTTTTTTTTAAATTTTCTTTTTAAACAACTGCATAGATCTAATTTTCTTTTGCATTTTCAGATCTTAAAAATATATATCTTCTGAAAATATTCATCATCCCCCTTTCTTTGGCCTCTCTTTTTAGTCTTTTCTTCTGTCTCCTATCTTCTTCTTAGGCCATGTTTGCCAGCTACGTCCCTGAAATCATAGAGTTAATAGGAAACCGCAAGAAATATGGTGGTTCCTATAGTGCGGTTAGTGGAAGAAAGTAAGTATCCCAAGAGGCTCTGCTGCCTCTGCTGCAGTAGAACACTCTCTGCATGCCATTTTCTTTTTTTTTTTTTTGTGTTTTTGTTTCATGCATGTAGGCAATGTTTGCTCGCTACGTGCCAGAAATTGCTGCTCTCATCCTTAATCGGAAGAAATACGGCGGAACTTTTAACTCAACCCGAGGCAGAAAGTAAGTCCAAAAAGACCAGGTGTGGTTTGTGGGACTCTAAAGAGCCCCTGAAGGTGGTAATAGCTGACTCACAGCTTACAAGGCTGTATTCTTTGACGTCAGATGTTACCACTGGAGAGTTGTCACACTATGATTAGAGACCTGGGCTGTGCTATGGTACAAGTCACAACATTTTGTCCCTACTTCAAGAGAACCTGGATCCCGCTCAGAGTACACTGACATACCTTGTGAAGAGTGCTGCTGTTACACATGCACTTAACTTCTGCAGCTAGGATGAGTTGTCACTTCACCATTTTGGGCATCAGAATGGTTTATATCTTACCCAAGCGACAATGGTAATTCACATGATTTTCAGACAACTCAGTTCTTCAGAAAACATTGTTATACTGGATGCAAAACAGGAACTATATATTGACCAGTTTGTTCTGTTGGACTGACTGTGTCAGAAGCCTAACAGCTCTGTTTCTCAATGTTCAACCAGCAGATTCAGACCTCATGCAACTTTTTTTTTGACTTTTCATGGATATTGCAAACTCTTGAGTTTAGAATCTGTGACCAGGGATTTTAAAGCAATTCTCTTCCCTGTACCACACTGAGAATATCTGAAGAAGAACAGGCAGTAGCCTTAATATCAAAATAGTATGGTAAAACACCAAACCTACTACTTTTACCTGCTGACAAAGGTTAAGTTTTATTGGACCACATTACCTCATTACATTTCTATTGAAAGCATGCTCGTTTTCTTGACCAAGTTAAAACTAGCCCTTTCTGGCATTCCCAGCTCCTGGATATGCTGGGATATGACCTTTACTGAGCTAGATGTCCTTGGCGATATGGTGCGACACAGCACAATATCACCTTTAGTGTTGCCATCCTTCATTTCATTACATACATCTGTGACATCCACTGGTAGAGTGTATTTACCCTGAAAGCCTAGTCATATAGAGAGCCCTTTTCATATGATAAAAATAAGGTACTGCAAGAAATTTATCTAATGAATTGTCCCTCTTCTTACTTTAAGAAGATAATTTTTAACTTCGTTCCTTTCAAATCATCACCCATGCAACATTTTGTTGAAGTGGATTATGGTTTTATCAGGTTATTTCTCCTCTCTGTGTAGCAGAAAGACTGTAAATGTCCCACAGAGCTAATTCTAGAGTACTGTTTTATATCACTGTGTAGATAAATCAAAATTTTGAGATTAGATATAATTTATGCTAGTTTCTGTTCATTAGACAGTAAACTTCAATACATGCATTTATTGAGATACCCTCAAATGTCTAAGGTAAACTCTAAACACTGATATTGGAAACTTGCATCTCTTACCTAGGCAAACTTGCCTTGATTTATTTCTGGGAGTGAGTAGTACTGTTAATTTCCCAAAATATTTATCGTGACAGAGGCCATTCATATTTATATTCACTGTTTTCTCAAAGAGAAGCTTTTCAAACTTAGAACATATCCCTCTGTTTTCAAATCTCCAACGGAGTTACAGCAGAGGGGAATGTGTTTAAAGCCTGTTTTACACACAGTTCGTCCCTCCCCTTCTACATTGTCACTAGTACCCAGCATTGCTCAGATGTCTCTCAAATTGGACCTGATCTTCAGTCAGAACCTCACATCCTGAAAAGCTCAACCTCAGATTACAGGCTTCTGCTGGCTTTGGGGCGTGCTTAATTTTATTTTTCCATTGTTCGTTTTTGTCTTTCTTTATGTGCACTGTCTGTTTTTATCTCACTCTGTTGTCAGTGCTTTCTCTGCTGATCTCTACTGCTCATGTAATTTGTTGCTTGAAACTCAACTCTGTCATCAGCGTACAAACTGTTCAATTTACTTTATGCATTGTTTTCTGGTTCAATTATGAATTACTAAGTAGTTTAAAGATGTCCTTTGTTCATGTGGGTCTTTCATCAGAGAATCTAAAGCTTGGGAACTGCACAGTAAAAAGCCATTAGCACCCCTTGTTTGATGTTGCTTTTGCAGTCAGTAGAACAAGATTGATGAAATGTTATGTTTGGCCAAAATTGAAGTTTTCATTTGGAATTCAGTGTTGAGAGAACGGATTGTCAGAACCAATAAGTTTTCCTTTGCTTGGGATATGGGCATGTGGTAGTAATTAGCAGTATAAGGTCTTTAGTTGAGCAACCAAGCATAGATTCTGGCAGCAAAAATAATGAGAAACTACAGTCGTTCTATTTCCAATGTCAGAAAGTTTCCAGATAAAATTAAATACCTTTCCAATATGAAAACAGCTGAATTTTGGTGAAAGGTATAGTTTCAGCCCTTAAAACAGCAAATGTGTGTAGTTTTTTAACTCTGTCCAAAACAGATAAATACGTGGAATCTGCTTTGTAGCATCTGTGTATATGTTAAACGTTGTCATAGCTTAACCCCAGCTAGCAACCAAGCCAGGAAACAGCACAACATGCTGCCTCCTAAACTCTGTGTGTGTAATAACATGATTATTAAACATTTAGGTCAGAAATTAAAAGCAGTGTATGATTATGTATGTTTTGAGTTTTGCACTAAGTGACTTCAATACTATGGAGAGCCTCGCACAGAACAGTGACTATAAAGGAACTAGAATGTACACATAAGAATTTTTTATACAAACTTCACTAATTAAAGAAGAGAAATAACCAACACACCAAGTTTGATCTCACATTTCATTTTGCTTTTCAGCCATAAGATAACCTATATAGGATTCATTTTGCATAATAAAGAACATTATTTTTGTCTTAGATTAGACCCATACATATATAAACTTTGGAAACAAAAGTAATTTGTAGACAATATGCAGTTATCACTGGTTAAACTTACTAGATAATAGGTTCATTTAGTTGTGAAAGTCCACAGGGAAATTTTTAGATTTTAAATTGAATTATATATAATTCCTGCTTTGTAATATTATTGTAAGCAGACATCTAAGGAACAGGAATTTCTTTATGGTCTTTGATTGAAGTTTCATCTTCAGCTGTAAAATAAACAGCAGTTCTTACTGTTGTGTTTATACCAAAATATCTATACCAATATATCTATACAAAATGTAACTGAGGACAAATGTACATATTTAATGATGAGTAAAGAGTTTGGCAATATTACAATCAAATTTTTTTTGGCACAAAATAAACAGCCGAGCAACCAAAAAGTCCCAACAACGAAACAAAACACACATGCTTCCTTACACCCTGTCTCCATTTAGCTCTTCTTTTTTAAAGCTTTTAATTTGACCTTGTTTAGGGTTTTTCTCTAATTATTTGTAGAATTCATGAGCTAATATTCAAAGGATCATTTTAAATTGATGTTTCTAAAGTGAAGTACCATAAAAGGATGAAAAGGTACCTGCCACTCTGTCACCATAGCTGGCTTTAGAATAGAACACTAAGCCTGCAGGTTTGTTCATGAATTTGTACCTCTGGAAGGCTGGAAGGGTCATTGATCACTTTGGATGGATTTCTAAAGTGCTGTAATTACCTGCTTTTCTGTAATATTCAGGCTTTAATTATTTTGAAGTAAGGCTTTTTTTTTCCAAGAAAGTCTTGGATTTGGATAAGTGGATTTATGCTATAGCACTATTTTTGTGATGTTTTGGAACTTACACATTTGGTTCCAGCCAAAATAGGACTTAAAAGATCATCTGGGAGAAAAAAACCCCCACAAGTTTATTTTGTTTATTTGTTTATAATATTCATATTACTGAGGTGTGGTATGTGGTGTGGTTAAAGATCCAGATACATTTTACCTCTACTAATTCATAATTAAAATTTTATTCTTTATTTACGAATTTACTTTTGAATCAAGATTGTTCTTGTTCCATTTCTGTATTTGTGTATGCATACTATCCGACTGGATTTGAATTCTGTGAAATATTTTCCAGTTGAAGATATTAACTTACTGTAAATCAGTGTGCACAAAGCTCTAGAAAGCATATGGAAAGAACATTTGTAAACTGATAAATTCAGCCTGGATAATTTACTGATTTTTTTTCAGTCTTCATGTTGAATTAATGACTTCTGATTCCATGGACTACATTTTTTTGTCTTTTTTATGCAAATTTTTTGTCTTTTTTATGCTGTCAAATCTGATGCAGAGTCTTTATGAGAGCAGAAAGTAGAACACAGCTTTCCATGAATAAGTATGGCAGAGAGAGCAGTGACTTGCCTTAGCAGGGAGGTTGGTCCAGAAGAGCCACTGTGGTCCCTTCCAACCTGACCCATTCTGTGATTCTGGCTGTGTCTGTATAAACTGCTCACTTTGTCACCATAGCACAGGTTTATGCTAGACTTCATTACAGATTCAAAAGATGTAAAAATAAATTATTCAGAGGATATTTATGTTATTTATTTATATTATACTATATCCAGAGGATATATATTATTATATATAATAATGCAACTATTATTATAGTTAATATATAAGATTAAAAATGCATTTTAATGAAATCACAGTCCTTTTCTGTATAAGGTATTAGAACCTCCTGTTTCTCTTCTCTCATGATCTGCTCTGCTTCCCAGAGATTTCTTCAAGTTTCTTAAATTTACAAGCTATAAATTATCAAATCATCAACATATCAACAGAAATAATCATCTGTTAGAAATTCCTTCCAGAAGGGAACATGGGATTCAATAACTAACTTCACAGAGAAAAATAAAAACTGTAGACAGATAGATATGGTAAACAGAAAGACAAACAGATAATTTAAGTTGACAGGCCATATTGGACTCATTAGACATTTGAATTTCATTACAAATTAGGAAAAAAAAAAAAAGAAAGAAATGGCTTAACCAAAGAAAAGGTCCATTTGCTGC